CAAGTGACTCAGACATTCCACTTTGTAATGTACTACAGGCAAGAGAATTAAGGGGGGGGGGGGGGGAAATAATTGTGCAATGTTAGAGTCTGTCCAGCCTGCTGAGTTGTCTTAATGGGCTTTGGCCTTTATGGGCCGTGGCCCATTAAGAACTTACACCATCTTGGGGGGGTCTTTCATTCATTCCTGACTCACAACCTGAGAAAGGGACGGCACAGGCAATGGCGATCTCGTTACAGTTTATTGGACATTCTTTGTTATCTTGAGCTTGTATAAAGAACACACGCGACCTGCATGCACGAGGGATTCCTGTGTGAAATGCAGGGAAACAGGAGTGAGCGGTCAGCATTCTTTACGTCACGTGACTATAACTGACTACAGAAACTCTGTTCATGCCCTGAGTATTATTATTTTTTTTACTCAAAAAGACAAAAAAAATGTGCAGTTGCTGTATTATACTTGTTTGACTTTACAGAGCAAGATATGATAACTGTATAACACATTTGCATGTACAATTAGCTGATGATTTAGTGCAGTGAAACTACTTCAGGGGTATTGTGCATAACCAAAATCTTTCAAGTATATGACATTCATCTTATGAAGAATTATGTGTCCCGAGCGATACAACAAAGGCACCATAACTATGAGAATATTTATTTGTCCCAGAGTAATTGGTGCCACACGCAGATTGTTCAACTTGCGATCCGAATGTTGCGAATTCAAATCTTAGTTGTGTCTCGACCGATCCCTTGAACTTGACATTGTCGATAGACGTGTAACTTACACTGCTCGCTGGCTTAGGTTTATCAGCGGATATGACGTCACATCCCTGTAGCTCACCGACTGATACAAATTGACTGATTTTTACCTTGACAAATGTCAACATACAGAGCTCAAATATAGTTTCCAAACAGCAACGTATGTGGCAAATAACACGTCAGGATTTTAGGATGTTGCTTCAAGCTTAGGCACCTCCTACGCTATGTTCACTGGACTGTGGAGTTAATGGAAATGATTTCCTGTAAGTTGATGGGGTTTTTTTTCCCCAATGCAACCAACTTTAGTGTCAAGCAAAAGTCATTAATGCATTGAACCTTGAACTGTTTTCAGGACGTTAAAATTGTGTATAATTTGCCAGCACTCGCGAAAACTATGGTCCATGTCCAACTTACACAATGGTGCATCTGTCAGCTCTGTGTTGTCCAAAATATGTCGCCGACAATGGAATGACATGGTCATTACATTACATCAAAGGACCTGAGACCCGTATGTCTCAATGCTCAAATTACAAAACGTGCAACCTTCACCGAGCTGAGGGTCTATAAAATAAAATGTTCTGGCCCACGAGAGATGAAACTAACACGGAGTAAGTCAGCGGAATAGCCACAGCCATGAGAGGTCTTGTGAGAGACCAACTTGTTGAAGAGGTGGCTTTTCCAAAACAAGAAGTGACATTCCCCCTCCCCTCCCACCCACATGTCCACTCGTTTCCGAATCCCTTGGTGTGTCAGAAATTCGTTTTCCAAGTGTAAGGCTCACTATTGTTGTTGACCTTTTTATCCCTAGCGTGTAGCAAGCACATAACAAAGACTTTTTTTTCTGAAACTGTAAATCCATTTGGCTGGCTCTACATCATATACGTGTGGCGAGAAACTACACCTTTTGTTATAATGCTTAGAATATCAAGGATCAAAGGCTGCAGTGTTATGCCACAAGAATAACTGCAATGTGTAAACGGTTTTTTTTTTATTATGCAGTAGTAACTAGGCAATGCAAACCATGGCATCCATTAATTAGATCCAAAAATACCTACACATAACAACACTTTCCAGAGCTGGTATATCTTATTTCAAGTTTTTGAAAAGGGCCACTGACAAACGCTGAATGTAAGTCTGAATAATAATTTAGTTAAGTTGTTTACTACTCGAGTTACCAACATCTTACACTTGCTTGTTAATGTCAGTTCACATATCTCTTTAATTTGCTTTCAAGTACAGATAATAATCTGGAATTTATATATAGATATACAGAACAAATACAGCAATGGATAGCTTTTATGGCTGATGATAATAAACAATTAGGAACAGATATGAACGCATTGGTATTGTTTTATTTTATTACGTAAAATGTATTCTGATCAATGGTTGTGTTTGTTTGGTTTCCAGTGCAAGGCGCAATTTTGTGTTTTCCCCAACATCCAATGTGTATCCCGGTAATGTTGGTTTAAAATTAGTTAAACAAAATTTGTTGGACATCCATCCACCAACGTTTTCGATCTCACATGGTACTTCATTGATAATGATCAATTATCAATGAAGTGATTGTAATTAGCTTCAGTGCCTTTAAGATCTGACAAGTTAGACACTGGAGATCTCTCGGTCTTGCCGATGTTGAACATTGGCTGAACCTGATGCTTGAGGTGTGCGTACTCGGATGTCTTGTGTCTCTCTCGCAGGGCTTGCTGTCTTCTATAGGAAGGTGCTGTCCCCTTGTGATCAACCGCTCCTGGCTTGATCATCTTACCCCGCTGTGTACTTATCGCTCATCACTCTCTCTTCTTTCACCTTCTCTCAATCTCCCCGCTCTCTCTCTCTCTTCCATTTCCTCTGCTCCTCATCCCTGCCTTAGATCACGACTGTTTTTTTCCTTTACATTCACTCGATTATTATATCGATGCGGCGAGCCTTTGTAACATGGATCTGTCTTTACACATTCGAGTTGCTGAAAATTAGAACTTCTAAAATAAAATGTGAAATAACCGTTTGTAGTAATGTATAATAGACCATGCACATGGCAAGGTTCAATTGCAATACATGTCTATATAAACAGTGCCATAACATAGCTCTTATATATTATTGCCCTTGGGACAAATGTCCATTCCAGCTTTCAGTGTTAGCATGAATTGTTAATCTATATGTAAATTACGTTCCCTGTTTATGTAGATTCAGTGAGACACATTACATGGAACTGTTGACTGGTAGACATATAACTTAGACTGGCTGATAGTTTATAACATTTCATAGGATGACTGTCGCCATACATCAAAAGGAAAATGTCAAGATTTACATAGTTGGTAGACTTTGCGTGCATATTACTAAACACAAGCATTATTGAAAAAGCATACGTTTAGAACTGCAATTAGTGTTCGTGCATTGTTATTATTTAGAAGTGATGCATAATTGTAAAATATTTTTTTGTGATGCTACAATTAACTCACTTTAATGACATTGCAAGTGTAAGACGTCATATTGACTGTAAAGAAAGAAAAGCACGCGGGCTTGGGCAGGACCCGTCGCTGGAGGGGTCAAACGCCGGTGGGAAAGACGAGCAACCAAAGCGGCAGACAAAAGAGTGAATGGGTCAAAGATGACGTTCACAGTGTAGGCGGAGCCTTGGAATCGGGTCATCTGCAGGTGCTGGATGGATGGTTGCATTACGATTATAGCTGGCAATGGCTTGGAGAAGTCTTCTTCTGGCAGTGGATAGATGATGGCTGATGATGGATTACTTGAGGTGCCAATAGATGGAACTGCGAGTGTTATATGAAATCCCTCCGCCTGAGAAAATGTCACGTGTACTGATGGAACGGCGCTTTCTCGATCTGTTTCTGCATCAGTATTTCGTGATAGCTCGACTGAGTTCACGGTTATCTTGTCAGTAGCACAATATTGCAAATACTGGCAAAGATATCGTATCTGTTCAACTGTCTTGTACTGTATTCCTGAAAGTCAGATTTTCTTTACGATATCATTCATGAAACAGCGTAGATATATGGCAAAAATTAGTGCATGCAAGTTGCCGGTTTTCACATGCTAAATGTGGCCTCACCTGGTATGCAGGAAATCGTGGGTTCGATCCCGACCCTGGCACATGTATATTTGGAGTTTGCATGTTCTCCCAATGGTCACGTGGATTTTTCTCCAGGTCCTCCGGTTTTTCCCTCCATACTTAGAAACACACGTTGAGCTATCATTTGTGGCCAGGTCGCTTCTGAAAAAGAGCAATACAGTTCAAGTGGGCCTTTCCTGGTAAAATAAAAAATAGTTAAAATAGTTTTTTTTTAATCTGGGTCAGTACTTGACAAAAAGAGGGAGCCTCACAGTAAGGGGCACATTTCTTACATGCCCCGCTCATGGTTAGTCTATTGGCAGGTTGCGTGTGGTGTCACCTCTATCAAGCCAGCATGGAAGAGGAGGCAAAAAAAAACCTTTTGGAGGGGCTCGGTGGAGCTTCCTCTCGTGAAGGCCCTTGTGTCAGCAGTGGCTTGAGAAGGAAATTTCAGGGCTGAACCTTTACCTTATACCGGTGTAATGGAAATTGACGAGAAAATGGAACAAAAGCTGAAATATGTGCAAAACATCATGCAGAGGTGCATGCATGGAATTACACTCGCGTCTACCAGTACAAGCATCCAGTAGCACGTCTGCCAGTATTTTAAGAGCATGTGGGCATGAAGCGCGTGATAGCTTTACACCACATAATACATTTCAGATAACATAATACATTGCAGGTGTGTTAACGCTTTCCAACTAAGAATGAAAGCGTTAATGCATTAGCTCTGTCTGTCCCTCCGTCTGTAATTGGGGGGGGGGGGGTCACAATAAAGATGATCCAAAATAAATGACTGTTGTATTTAAAGCTGTGGTGCTATGAGAGACACACCCTATGGAAAACCTTGCCAAATGTATCATAGCTAAGCAAAATATTTGGTAATACTGCATTGACAGCGGTGCACAAATGTTTTTTGCCAAATTGATCAAAGGGCTGTCTACACCCAAGCATGCAACCATCTGCCTACAATCTGCCTACATCCAGCATGCAACAATCTGCCTACAATCTGCCTACAAAGGGCTGCCTATATGCAGCATGCAACAATCTGGCTGTGGGGGCTCGGAAGGTCACGTTATCATAATTTTAACGAAACACTTTCGGGGACTAACGCATGCTGCAAACCATTAGAAAAACCGTGCTACTTTTTGTTTTTTTTTGTTTATTGTCAGCCGGTCAGCTGGCCGGGAGCTCGTCGGTGGAGATGTACCGGCAGGCACTGCTGGCCGGGTGCCGCTGCGTGGAGCTCGATTGCTGGAAGGGACGCACGGCTGACGAGGAGCCGGTCATCACACACGGCTTCACCATGACCACGGAGATCCTCTTCAAGGTCAGCACCTGGCCCATGTCAGTGGTGATAAGAGAGATCATTTGCTTTTTGATGTGCATTCGCTTTTTTTTAATGTTGATTCACATTTGAATTCGTGCTGGGACTTAGGTTTTGCTCCAAATATGTTCTAATTGTGAATCCAGGGCCCCATTGTGCTGCTTGGATCCTTTCGCTTATGCTCAGTTTGTTTATGCCTAGCACTACCCCTGGCCTCCATGACACATAATTATGCTTTTCCAACATGGAACGCTTTTTTGTAATGTTGGTGTAAAATGGTTAAGGTTAAAGATGTTTTAATAACATTTTGTCGTGGATGACTACAAACTCGAAGTAGTGATTACTAAAAACATTGTGTGTGGATTTACCGTGACCACAGAGATGGTCTTCAAGGTGAGCACCTCGCCCCCGCAACAAATTCCCATCCACGGCCAGAATTGGGTCTGGCGAGATGGATTGCCAGTGCCAGTATAAATTGCAGCTGTGTGTCCGACGCTGAACGATTATAAGTCTCCAAACGGCTTATCTTATAATTTAGCACATGTGCATGATGTATACATTTTCTTTGTACACTCTTAAAATGCTCCCACAGACATTCACTGCAGTAGCAATAGTTATGCACGTGCAAGTGCACGCATTCGCCAATGACATACGTTTAAAGTGATGTATATAAAACAAGCAAAATTTAACATTGAACATTAAATTAAACAATACGTTTAGAATGATTGAGTGACAATATTTTTTTTTATAACGGCAGTTTGTAAGAAGTGTATTTTGACAAAACAAAGGGAAAAATTGTTACTTTGGTGCTGAAGGTTTCATTGATAAGTAAAGTTAATACAATTATGCTACATCATTTATAATATCAAAATCTATTTGAGGTAAACATTTCACTAATTACAAAAAAAATTAGAAAATAATGCTGAGCCTGAAATAATGAAGTAGAAAATAATGCTTGACCAAACTAAATACAGATGCATCTATACGTTTAGCACAGCATTAATAAAAAAAAGCCTTAATGTGTATAAGTTGAAATATATATGCAATCAAGGATTAGCATTACATAGCATATATTGTGATCACCGCTGTTTCAGTCCAAACATTGTGGCACTGTCATAAAAGGACTCCATCAAAGAGGATTTGATTCAAGCAAGCATTGCAGGGTTTGGGGGAGTGGATTTGAGAATGCGAGCAAGGATGATTGGTGGGGGGGGGGGGGGGGCGCGAGAGGGTGGTGGGGGTGGTGTAAAGATGTTGGTGGTGGGTTGGTTGGTGCTGTTCACCATTCATCCCCCTTGTGTTGTAAACGGATTTCAATCAAGTGTTCACCAACAGCACTTGCCCAATCCACATGACAATCACGTTCGAGGGGCCCGCGGCCACACCTTAGCTTTCACTGCGGTGCTTGCGAGCAACCATTAGGACATGGCGTCAATGACAGGTCAAGCGGACTCCGGGGCTTCTCTGGCCACAGATGAGCTGCTGCTGGCGTTTTTCACACACGGCCCGACCGCAGGAGAAAATGTCAGTCTCGCGGTGATGGACGGAGGTGGCCTTTGATGACAAATGGCGAGTGTATCTCTGTCTATGTGCCCAGGGATGCCTCGAGCGCTTTATATTCGTTCAGGTTGGCCAACGTTGCGATCCTAAATTGCCTTAAGAAACCTTTTCTATTTTTGTTTTCCTTTCTTCTTCCCTTTTCTTCTCCACAAACGGCTTTTTGGCTTGAGTATCATGCTTACTCATTAAAAAGCCGCGCCACTTTTCAGAGGTGTCTGCCGATCATCTTCGGCAGCTTGCTGTCTCGTTAACGGAAAGGGGATTTTCAGTGAATGTTTATATATATGCGATCTGAATTTTGATTTAAAGCTTTCGCGATTGCAGGGATTCATATTCTTGGTTCTTTCGGTAAAGTCACGCGACTTTACCGAAAGAACCAAGAATATTTATGCGATCTGTTTATGTTAATTATGACTCTTATATTCTTGTGTCAGCGTATGCTTGCATTTTTGGCTTAACCCAAACTTCCCTCTTGACCTCCAATAGCTGTAAATGTTTTACCTCCGTGTACATTTTATCACCTTGCATTACACCCACTCTGTCTGGTCACTGAGCTGTATAGATGTTTTTCAGAAGCAACCTGGCCACAGATTAAGTGACTTGTCATGTGAAAATTTATAGCAGCCAAATATTCTGAGCGTATGTTTCTAAATGTGGAAAGGAAAACTGGAGAACCTGGAGAGAATTCCACGCAACCACGGGGAGAGAGAAAATGCAAACTCTAATGTACAGGAGTCAGGGTCAGGATCGAACCCACGACCTCCTGCATACCAGGCGAGGTAGTTAACATCTCGCCACCATGGCACCCCATTGTTAAGCCATCACGTCAATCAGCCTCAGGACGGCTCTTAAATCTCAGAGGACACTAATTCAATTCGCAATTCTGGCCTCAAATAAAGATTACAACGTTAACAAGGTATTTCCTTATTGGTGAGGATAACGCTTTAATACAATTCAATTTAATGTTGGGTGAGAGTAAAAAAAAAATTAAGCTGCTTTAACCTCGCAATGTCGAGAGATGCATTAGCACGTTGAAATCTGACCTTGAGTCCATTTCCTTAAGCTGGATCATTCCCCCCCCCCCCCCCCCCCCTCAGAGCTGAAGGCCATGAGCAGTGTTAGAGTTCCAGAGCAATTTAAATCATTCTGATTGCCATCAGGTTGCGTGCTCTGTTTGCGAATACTTTGAAGCGTCTGAAGGGAATTGCAAGGGTCTTGCCAGCGGAGGAAGGGAGTTGGGAGAGAAATACGGTTACCAGTGGCCAGTTCTAGCGATTGATGTGCGGTCACCATGACAAAGCTCTTGAAATTAGCATTCAGTTGCACGTGACTGTGTGCGCAATGAATGGTTTTCAGCAGCAGCAAACTGTCAAGATGTGTGGATCGCCCCTCGTAAACATATCTCGAAGGCCAATGTGCACACATTTAACACGGTGGGGAAAAATACAGAATTCAGGAGGAGAATATTAACTTCGCAAGATAAGGTTGGAAAGGTTTTCTTCATGTTATTGTTTGTCTTATTTACAAACAAGCCTTTTTTTTTCAATCTCTTCAATATGTGAATCTGCGTCTGTAATGATTTCGAGCTGAAATTCATTTCTGACTTTGTAAATATAAAGTGTGCCACTGAGATGGGCTTCTTCTTCCACGAAGTTGTTAAGATTGGCTAAAATTCACCAGATGTTTGACAGAATACATTTATAAAGCAGTGACAGGCTCTAGATTTGAAGCTTTCGTGACTGCAAGGATCCATACTCTTTGGTTCTATTCGGTAAAGTCACGTAGGTAAAAAATAAAACAACAAAAATCACGACGTTTCGGCCACAACACAAGTGACCTTCATCAGGTGAAGGGACCAGACAATCTGGTCCCTTCACCTGATGAAGGCCACTTGTGTTGTGACAATCTGGTCCCTTCACCTGATGAAGGCCACTTGTGTTGTGGCCGAAACGCCGTGATTTTTGTTGTTTTATTTTTTACCTACGTGACTTTACCGAATAGAACCAAAGAGCAGTGACAGGCTACCAATTCAACAACTTAAATGGATTCTGTGGATCAACACTCTCGCAGCTGATCCTTTGCTGTCAGAAGAAATCATAGGAAGATTAGATGATCATTTACATTCCTCGGTGCAAATCTTAGGTCCTAAAACTTGAGTGCAGTTCCGTCTTTTCATCAACTGCCTGAAGTCGCATATGGCTCTGTTTTTTGCTGCGTAGGATGTGATCGAAGCCATAAAGGACTGCGCGTTCAAAACGTCACCGTTTCCTGTCATCCTCTCCTTTGAGAACCACGTGGACTCGTACGTATCACCGCTGCGCACCTTATACCCCATGGAAGGACTAAAGCAAAAAAAAAACTCACATTGGCCTCTATGTTCGCATTCTGGGACAGTTGCGGCTATTTTCAGACGAAAGTGGTTAATGCCTTCAAAGCCATGCCTCTCGGTATTTTAACGTATTGCATTCACCGGCTATTCAAATATTAACACTATATTAATCATATGGAATATTAATGATAATTCTCTTAGTGCTGTGTCCATGTTTCCTGAAGTTATGTCCTCGTAAAAAGCAGAAGTAGTTGTTTATGCAGCACATGTACTGTGCTTATCTGTGTTTATTATGAGTATTATTATAAGTGAGCACACAAATGCACATACACGGAGGTGGTCAGAATTTTTGTTAAAGAAAATTTGCACTGAAACAAAATGCTAAGATTGCCTATCAATGGCTTAATAATAACAGTGGAGTGGAAACTGAACATAAAACACCGTATATGACCACAGTTCTCATATGTAAGCAACACATGCTTACACTACACTCGTGAAGGGAAGGGCAAAGGACAACTTCTGATACAGGCACACGACTTTGGATATAAGCACATCTGGCCTTGCTCTCGAGGGGTGTGCTCATAGCCACGTTCTACTGCATGGGAAAATTATCAGCAAATAAGTTAGCAAATTCGTGAACGGCTTTTACATTTCTTTTTAAAATATGGTGGTGAATGTCAATTTCTCCACCCCAAAGGATCACGGCCTATATGTATATGCTACGACAAGATAGGGGCAGAGTTACGTTAAAGTCATGAACACTATTGACACACTGTTTCTTTACTCATGGACATGCTGTGTTTCGAGTGAGTGAAGTTAGCTGAAAGATTTGACATGATAATTAATTTTATTATTAGTCCCCCCCCCCTACCCAAAGATTATCATGAAGCTACTTACACAAAAGGAATGGTCTTCTTTACATAACAGTTTATATGCAAATGTTATACTGGTAGGAACGAAGTTGTAAACTGAGTGTACCAGCCTGCAATAGAATAATGTGTCCGTCCGTCCGTCCCCTTTCAATACTTTAACGAAGTGAAATCTCGTGCTGTTGGGTGTAGAAGAACCCTCAACGATTTTGAGGGCAAACAGGTGGGAAGACGCTCTCAATTTGCACAATTTTACGTAACAATGTCATAAAATTGCGCAAAATTCCAATGTTCCTACCAGCCCACCCTGCAGGGACCTGTTTTAATGGAAAACTTCCCAACCCCCACCATTACAAACGTAAGACACTCTTGCTAAAAATGGAAGTGCTGTGACAGTTACACGCAGCATGTGGCTTGTAATTCAGCACTCTACAATGTGCGACGGTCCATTCACTTCGTACGGGGGCGTTCGGGAGATGCGTGCTCAATTAGCAGCCGTGCTGCTGCACGCGCTAAATTTCGCTGGGAAGTAAACCATGAACTTGCCCCGCACAGCAGTAATGTCCGACCTGTTCTCTTCACAAGCGGTCGAGAGGTGATGGATGCGGAATGCAACCGAATTATGCACCACGTATAAATGCGCCGCTGAGTATTGATCATGTCACTTGTAAGTTTATCAACTCTGCTCACGTACTTTTTGTGTGTGTGTTTGCATATGCATGTGTTTACCCATCCTAAAGCCCCAAACAGCAAGCGAAAATGGCAGAGTACTGTCGGACAATATTTGGAGATGCTCTGCTGATGGACCCTCTGGAAAAGTACCTGGTAACCTCAGCCTGGCGAGAGAGAACCATTGCAACAAGCACCATGGCATCATTGCCCAGGACCATAATGCAGTGGCAGCCAAGAACTCCAATCAATTAAGCGTCGACCGTGTGTTTTCTGATCCGGACAAAACAACAAATCCTGTGCAGCCACATCTATGGATAGAGAATCAATCCTGCCTCAACTGGGGAATGCTTTATTTACATTCACCTCTGGATTTGTGCTCCAATTTAATTTTGGCCCAACAATATAATTTGCTTCCAAATGGTGCGCTGACGTTTGCCTCGCAGAGGGGCTACGGATTGAGAGAATGAATTAACCCCTTCCGCATGTTGCTTTTTATATTCTCGCCATCCTCATGGCGCCAAGGACAATATCACGAGTAGGGGGGTGGTGGGGGGGAGTTGTCAGGTGGTGTTAATAATACGTAGGTATTTTTTTTTTACTTTGAGGCTAATAGCATTTACCCTCTTGTCCATTGTGTGCAGCTGGAGTCTGGGATTCCCCTGCCCAGCCCTCAGGACCTCATTGGCAAGATCCTCATCAAGAACAAGAAGAAGAAGCACCCACCCAAGGGGGCCCAGGAGGGCGGCTCGGCCAAGCGTAGGGCGGGAGAGGCCATCTCAAACACGCAGAGTGACTCCTCCAGCGTGTGTGACCCCTGCTCTCCAAGCACAGGTGCTTGCAAGGACATAGATCCCACCCCCCCCCCCCCCCCGTATAGCCTTAACAGACTCTTAGGGATGAGTGCTGTTAGCGAGCACAATAGGAAGGCTGACACGGCACATGAGGGGGCGGGTGGCCAGTGGAGATGGTTACACACCTCCGATTCACACGGTTGGCTACGTACGGCGTTGAAAGAAGTTCAACTTACATACCGCACCAGGTAGTCATCTGAGACTGAGTCGACACAGGACAGGCCACAGGAATGGTTGACATAATTGTCACTGGTGTTGACTGTGAACAGAAATTAAACTCAGGTCACAGGGTTCATAGTGCAGCTTGCTAACCGCTGTGCCACAACTCCCCAGGTGCTCACACTCACTCATTATCAAACGATTGCAGTTGAGCAGCAGCCAAGATTTGTGGAGGGAATGTTTGGCTGACATTAATTCATAAGGGTCTCACACTTAAATTTAATCCAGCAGCCAATTGACCTTGGCTTATGATGAGAGTTGAATGGTGAGCACAATGGTTAGGAGCAGACTGGTCTATTCTACCAGCATTGTAGCTGAAAATTTGGCAAATATCTTACCCCCCCCCCGCCCCAAGCCTCTGCCCATCCAGAAGTATAAATGGGAACACCACAGTTAGTCGACTGGCAGTTTGCGTGTGGTCGGATAAAGTGTGGGTACTACCACCGATTGCAAAGCATTCAGTCAGTGTGGAAGAGTAGACCAAACTACCCTCTACAGGGGATTTCTAGAGCCCCCTCTAGTGGAGGCCTTTTCGCCAGCAGTGGCCTGAGCGAGCAATCTAGGGCAAGTTGCCCGATTATGCATGTGTGTCACCTGTGAAATAAACACATTCTCTGCATCAATTTGGTCGCTTAGTTAATCTTGAACAATTAGCACTTCCCCATTAGAGCCACGGGAACATGGATGCATAGAGAGTTTAGGGATGGGCACTGGGTGCACTAACCATGCCGCCCACCCCACTTCCCCCACCCACTACCCATGGGCATTGATGTTTCCTTCGCATCTCCGGGCGAACCGCAGAGTTTTAGCCACAGCTAAGTACATATATGTTTTTTCTTCGCACATAGAGCATCCAGACAAGCAAACACAAATTTACGTAATGCACCTTTCTTCACTCTAAGTGCATCTTTTTCCCTTCTATCGTGGAGTTTTCATTATTATTTGCATGTGTGTCATGTGTGAAATAAACACATTAAATTTCATTTTTTTTTTATAACCAATGGGCACGAACTTCAAGCATGCTAAATCAGTCGTAGCATTTTCTATGACGGAGATATGTATATATTATTGTAAGGTTGATATGAATGGAATGCATCCTAAAGGTAAAGCAATTCAGCCAGTTAATGCGCAGGTGCTCGGTGGATTATTTCATAGCAGAATCATCAGAGGTAGCTCTGGTTGCTTGGTGGGGAGGCCTTTACTCAGCAATGGATTGACTATGTCTGATGATGATTATGATATGACAAGCTAATTTTAATGGCAAATGAGATGAAGGCAAATGCAAGCTTCCCACTGCAGTCCATTTTCTGCATGCTCGTTTTTATATATGTTTTATGAAGACAAACTTGCCAAATCACGTATTATGAAGCCGTACTTATAATGGTGATACATTCCACACGTGCAGCTGTGCAAAATGAGAATTTAGTCAGGCGAAATGGTTTCACAAGATGTATACGCCTTGGGCAATGTTTCAAAGCGAGATACAGATTAAACATGGGTGCTGGAATAAGGAAAGATACCTTTGCTCTGTGGGTTTGCTTTTGGGCAAAGAAAGTACATTTTCCTACAGGAGCATGATGCACCGTCACATGCACCCTTGCACACATTCCTGCGAGAGTAATTACCCGCCTTATGTTCGATATTAGAGATTTCATCATTGCAAAAAAGAAGCACTTGACCGCAGCACTGACGGTTTAGTACACTATAATATACATGTTTCATCCAGTAGTTTATTTCAATCGTTTGATAATTATCGTCATTATTTTCATTCCTGACCTACGTTATACAATATGGCAGTTGTGCCACCTCATAAAAAATGCAGTGCAAATCGCCTGAATTATTTCTGTCCTCATATTTTCTTGGCAAACGTGCATTATTAGGGCTGAAGGACTGATGTTTTATTGAACACTCGTCGTGGATGAAAAATGGATTATGCCTTTCACACTCGATTAACAGGCCATGAGTTACTGCAAAAGCAGGGCCAAGTGGTAACTCGAATGTTTATTAAAATAACGTTTATAAAACCCCCACATCGTGAAAAAATGTTCACAAGTCAACTCTGCTCCACGCCTTTATTTCCCTACAATGCATTCGCACGAATTTAGTCAAACTAAATTAAAGATGCAAACACATTTTTATTCAAATTTTTTTGTGGGGACAAAAACTATCTAGGTACTGTAATGGAAAGAACTAGTGAAGATGGAAGCGTAATCTGCTCGTTTTAATCCTCAGAAGCTTTAATTTTAAGTTAGGTGTGTCTTGCTGGCCATAGCACAGTTGGTTACGTACGGTGTGAAAGAAGTTCAACATACAAAACCTTAATCTTGAGAAGATATTAAATGTTTTACCCATTATATGGTGATACAAAGCTCAACACCGACGTTGGCATGTTATACTCCTATATTTTAAAGTACTGTATTCACATTTAATATAACATTCTGAACAATATAATGGATGCTCTCATGCTGTAATAGGTAGCACATTGTATTTGCAATAGGTCTGGAGCCTCTGTCCACCCAGCAGTATAAGTGGCCACACCAGTCAGTCAATTGGGAGGTGGCACGTGGTGGGGTAAAGTGTGGGAGCTGCTACCTCTTTCCATGACATCTGGCCAGCATGGATTAGTATGCCAAATTCCCTCTCGACCAGCATCTGCCAGCATTGACGCGATCAAGCAATAGTAGAGCTGTACCTCTACTCAGTAATGAATGTAAAGAGTAAAAAAAATACTTCGGAATATGGCAATGTTGCTATCCATCGGGTCCATTATTTTCTCTCCTCCAGGGCATTTCACAATAGAAACCTTAACATTTCAGCACTCGGCTTCGAGACATCTACGGCGTGAACGCATATGCAAAGTGACACTCCTTCCACGTCACTGTGTGTATCATGCCTGCAGCAGCATACAGATGAAAGTATTCTATGCACAATGAGCAATTTTAGACCCCAGATGTCTCTGTCGTCCTGTAGTGAAAAGAACAAAACACAAATGTGCTTACTTTGTACGTACACGTGTATACGTCATAGTCTTTCCACGTACAATTGTAAGTGGTAAAATATTAAATACTTTCTAGAAACATCGGAGACTGACACGGTAAAATTCAGATTCAAGGATGAAGCCAACCATATATACAGACACAATTTCAACCGAGAGGATGGGGTGAAAACTTTGCAATCATTGGAAGGACGTGATCAACCAGTTTAGGTAATAACTGGCTGTGATGTTCCCATCCTGCCACCTTCCGATGTTCGTTGTCATTTTCGGCTCTCCGATTTTACATGAATAGGTAAAATTTCTCACACCAACACAGCCACCTCCGCGCTCCGACCTCAACGTGGCGGAGGCTCTGCGATCCCACATTAACATGCTAATCTCTCACATTAACATAGCCACCTCAGCGCACTCGCCGTGGAGGACGCTCAATGACCTTACATTAACATGCTAATTTTTACCTGGCAGCCCTTTGATTGGTGGAAACCCACCACCAGCGCCGTCGTTGACCATCACTTTCATTAACATAAGCTGCCCCACCCATGCTGCTGACACTTGGGCTACGCCCATTTTAAACCTTTATAAACAGTTTGCCTTTAGAGGCTAACCCCCTTTTCCTGATGACTACCGCTTGTGTTGCGATCGATACGTCCCGTGGTTTTTATTATTATTTTTTTCTACCTACGTGACTTTACCGCAAGAACCAAAGAATATCAAGGATTACCAACTTAAGAAAGCTGAGAGAATGGTAGAATTGTTCTTATCCATTTGAACCTCATGGCGGGACCCCAGGGTCCCACAAGCCCCCGGCTCTCGCACAAACTGCGTTGCGACGTCATTTTATGTCTGTTGAAGGCGAACGATGCGGCAATCTATTCCTATCGACGGGCTCTACACGATGCGCTAATCAAAGTTTCAAAGTTTTCTGTATGACTACGGCAATTTTGGCAACGACACGACAACAGAATGATCTGCGCCAGGTGGGTTGCGGCGTTTATGTGCGCAGTGGGACGGAGTCGCCAAAAATAAATTACGATTTTGTCTTCTGTTTATTTGGGACCCCGGGGTCCCGCCATAAGGTTCATTAAAGCATTGAGATAAAATGCTCATGTGACTGTGTTCAATCACTGAACTTCATTTTCAGTCACAAGTTTTATTAGCAGGAGAAACTATTTCCCCAATTTACAAGGTGGAGACAGATGACACATATAGGTTAGAATCTATAATAATAAGAAGAAGAACAATGCCCATGGCACGTTAGTCACGAGTGTTATTTAGCTACACTTTGATCTTGCTAGCCAGTGAAGACTAGTTAAGGGGAGGGGTGTCCAGGAGCTGGTCCAGACTTGCCACTGATGTTAGCTGTGCTCGGAATCAACCTTAGATCACCGGTTTCAGAGCCTCGTGACAATACCACATATCCCCATCTACAGTACTGACATTCCAGTTATCGACGTTTCAGTAAGGTAGCAGTGGGTGGCAATTCCAGTTTCCCCTGCTTTGGATGTAGGTTATTACAGCATGTAATTATTCAAACCCACACCACTCGTGATTTAAAGAATTATGCTTATTTGGAGTCATAATTGTTATAGAGAATAACTTGTTTTGTCCAATACCATCTCTTTTAGCTCTGTCAATCTGGATTGAATTGTTTAATTGACAATGTAATCAGAATATTTGACTTTACCAACTAATCGTTCCAGCTCTAATCATGAGTATAATAATAAACTCTTTCTGACAATGTACATACCCTTAAAGGGTATCATTCT